GCGTCCCCGCCCAGGCGGCTGCCACGTCAGCACGCCGTCGCCTGCGGGCTGCGCGACCGGTCGGATGGGAACGGCGGCGGCGGCGGCGGCGGCGGCGGCCTTGGGGGCTGAGGTGGGCGTGCGGATCGCACTGCTCGCGGCCTTCCTGTAAGATCTGCCGTGGGCCGGGCCGCACCCTCCACCGACAGGGCGGGCCAGGCCGGGGCCTTGGAGGCAGCCAGGGGAGGGAGCCAGCCAACGTGCTCCGCGCTGTTTTCTTCCCGCTTCAGGGTAACAGAGCTGCTCCCTCCCTTCCAGAGGCTCATCCAGCCGGAGGAGATGTGGCTGTACCGGAATCCGTATGTGGAAGCAGAATATGTCCCCACCAAGCCGATGTTTGTGCGTGGAGACACCCCTTCCTTCTGCCCCTTACTAATGCCTGAGGCTTAATGCTGGGAAACAAATGTGCTCATTCTAGCTGCAAAATGATCTTTGTTGATGTGTCGAAGATTTTGCTCCCTGATGCTTAGGTGTTGAAGATCTAGACTTAAAAGGCAAGATGTCACGTTTTGGCTCAAGACACGCCCTCTGGGGAGTTCGGTGCCTCAGCCTGAGGTCCCGGGTCATATAGAACGAGTGATGGCGTTTACTGGTGGAACTTCTCGGAGTCCAGTTCCCCCACAGATGAAGAAAAGACATTAGGAGACCTTATATTTGTAGGGGGATTGTTAGGTCTGCTAGGCGAGTCCTACTTTGTCACTTCCATTCCCTGTAGGAGCTACTTTAACTAGTATGGGTTTTGTTGCTGTTGTTTAATCTGTATGCATTCTGGTTCAGGTTATTGCATTTCTCTCTCCACTGTCTCTGATCTTTCTGGCCAAATTTCTCAAGAAGGCAGACACAACAGACAGCAAACAAGCCTGCCTGGGTAAGAGCTAGCCCTGATTCCTGGATGGTGGTGTCGTTTTCGTGCTGGGAACTCAGGAAGTAGTTATAGGTTCAGCTGCTGGAATCTGTGTGGAGGCCACTGAGTTCTGCATTTCTAAGTATATGCCCCTGTACCCAACTCAACTTGTGAGAAAGGGCATAGGCTATACCACAGAGGTGTGCCTAATGGCACTTTTCATTTTTACCTCAGAAGTTTTCCCTTATTACAACAGAGTGATCACTGAGTGCTATCAGTATTATTTTTGTGCTCAGGCCTGGTGGGATTCTGTGTCTCAAATAGCATGGCTGCTCTCTTAATGAAGCCATAACTGTGCCTTTTCTCCTAAGCAGACTCCACTAACAGTTCATTTGTTTGCTTTGCAGCTGCCAGCCTTGCCCTGGCTCTGAATGGTGTCTTTACTAATACAATAAAACTGATCGTAGGGAGGTAAGTGACAGGAGTTAACCACCCCAGGATCTGCCTCAGCCCTTACCCCACCAGGAGAGGTAGTGGTACTCTATCACATTCTTTCTCATTCTTTTCCCATTCAGCACTTACTCCCCTAACCTCAGTCCTGCAGGTGACACGTGGGCTCTTTTCTGTCCTGAACAGCATTTTCCCACCAAAACCACAGCTGAGTCAGTGTCCTCTAAAGCCCCTCCTGAAGTTGCAGTGTGATTTTCTGTTTGCTCTAAAAAGTAATTATGTGCTGGAACGGGTTTTTCCCCCTAATTCAAGTGTTGGAAGACTTGGAAGACTTTTTTCTCTTAGTGTGGTGACTGTCTTAATCCAGTTACATTATTTTGCCTGGGGCACTATTTGACTTACAGTTAACAGGATTATGTCATCTGCTACCACTGAAAAATAATTTGTGACGTTGTAAGTGATCTGTGTTCACAAACTATGCTTATATCATTTTTCAGGCCACGCCCAGATTTCTTCTACCGCTGCTTTCCTGATGGACTAGCCCATTCTGACCTGATTTGCACAGGGGATAAGGACGTAGTGAATGAGGGCCGAAAGAGCTTCCCTAGTGGACATTCTTCCTGTATGAATATTACTTAGATTCTACCTTTATGCTAATTTTGGCATCAATGGATTTACCCTAGGAAGCTTGTGGGCATGGGAACACCTGACTACTCTTGCTCTTGTATCCAAAAACTGGAAAGCCTCCCTTCTTTAATAAACCCACGATTTCATAAGCCTGAACCTTGACTATTTGGGTAGATATTTTTTGCTTGTTTTTTGGGGGGTAGATATTTGAAAAAGAGGTGGCAGGGCTTGATGGCTCAGCCTGTAATCCCAACACTTTGGGAGGCCAAGGTGAGTGGATTGCCTGAGGCTGTGGGTTCGAGACCAGCCTGGGCAACTTGGCAAGACCTCGTCTCTACAATAAATCAAAAAATTAGCCGGGCATAGTAGCACATGCCTATAGTTCTGGCTACTTGGAAGGCTGAGACGGAAGGATTGCCAGAGCCCAGCAGGTCGATGCTGGGGTGGCCGTGAGTGTGCCACTGCACTCCAGCCTGGACAACAGAGTGAGACTCCAACTCAAAAAATAAAGACAGAAGTAGTTTATCTCCACGAAATTTGTACATTTGTATTATTTGCCTAGATCCTGGTATCTGGTACTAGGAGTAAAAATACTAATCTTCATTGAAGAGTTACGTGTCAGGTGCTTTGAAGCATTTTAGATTCTTACCTCATTTATAGTTCACAATAGCCCAATGAGGTGGGTACTACTAATTTTTTTGTGTGTTTTGTTTTGTTTGAGTTGGAGTCTCACTCTGTCGCCCAGACTGGAGTGTAGTGGCCACTCCCGGCCACCGCAGCCTCGACCTTCCGCCTCAGCCTTCCAGGTAGCTGGAACTACAGGCACGCGCTGCCACGCCCAGCTAATTTTTGATTTATGTAGAGACGAGGTCTCGCCAAGTTGCCCAGGCGGGTCTCGAACCCGCGGGCTCAGGCAGTCCACTCACCTCAGCCTCCCAAAGGCACGGGATTACAGGCTGAGCCACCAAGCCCAGCTTGGTACTATTATTTTTGAGTCCCATTTATAAATTAAGAAACTAAAGCATCAAAAGTTGTCCTGTAGCTAGTATTCCAAAAACTATTCTCAGATAAAATATTAATACCGGGACACAAAATAAAGTCCTTCATTTTTCATTTCCTTTCCCTCACAATGATTTATGCCAGAAGTATACAAAGAAGGGATAAAACATGCTCACGCTTCCTGACCTTCTATTGAGATAAATGAGGAAACTTCCTTTAAATGACATATACTACTCATGTTTCCTATTCCAGTTGCATTTGCTGGTCTGGCCTTTGCTTCCTTCTACCTGGCAGGGAAGTTACACTGCTTCACACCACGAGGCCGTGGGAAATCCTGGAGGTTCTGTGCCTTTCTGTCACCTCTACTTTTTGCAGCTGTGATTGCACTGTCCCGTACCTGTGACTACAAGCATCACTGGCAAGGTAAGCAAAATATTCATGCCTTGAAAGCTTCCATATTTTACTCATAATTTTATTTCTGGCACTTGGCACAGAGGAGCTTACTAAATACATGTTGAATGAATGAGTATGGGTGGTCTGGGTTCTACACTGAGAGTCTGCATTTAAAGCTACATGGACAATAAGACAAAATAATTAACCTTTTAAAGAGATTACCAATGAGGATCATCCTAATTTTTGATTATGTGAGGCATTATAAGTTCAAATTAAACTGCATTTATAAGAAATTAAAAACCTCAAAGCTTAATTTATTCTCCTAAAAAAAATAAATTTGCCAGGTGCAGTGGCTCACGCCTGTAAACCCAGCACTTTGGGAGGCAGAGGTAAGAGGATTTCCTGAGCTCAGGGGTTTGAGACCAGCCTGAGCAATATGGAGAGACCTTGTCTCTACAATAAATTTTTTAAAAAAATTAGCCAGGTATGGTGGCACATACCTGGGGTTCCAGCTACCTGGAAGACTGAGGTGGAAGGATCACTTGAGCCCAGGAGGTTGAGGCTGCGGTGGTCATGGGCATGCCACTGCACTCCAGCCTAGGTGACAGAGTGAGAATCCGACTCAAAAAAAAAAAAAAAAAAAAAAATCAAGTTCATTGTCAAAAGACTTTTGTTCAGAAACAGAAGCTCAAGAAAACACAAAATGGCCAGGCACAGTGGCTCATGCCTTTAATCCCAGCACTTTGAGAGGCTGGGGTGAGAGGATTGCCTGAGCCTATGGATTCAAGACCAGCCTGGGCAACTTGGTAAGACCTTATTTCTACAATAAATCAAAAAATTAGCCGGGCATTGGCGGCACATGCCAGTAGTTCCTGCTACTTGGAAGGCCGAGGCAGAAGGATCTCCTGAGCCCAGTAGTTCAAAGCTGCGGTAGCCATGAGTGTGCCACTGCACTCCAGCCTGGGCAACAGAGTGAGACTCCAACTAAAAAAAAAAATCAAAAAACAAAATTAGCCAGGGTTGGTGACTCACGCCTGTAATCCCAGCACTTTGGGAGGCTGAGGCACGAGGACTGCCTGAGCCGATGGATTCAAGACCAGACTGGACAACATGGCGAGACCTCATCTCTACAATAAATCAAAACATTAGCCGGGTGTGGTAGTGCACATCTGTAGTTTCGGCTACTTGGAAGGCTGAGGCAGAAGGATCGCCGGAGCCCAGCAGGTCGACACTAGGGTGGCCGTGAGTGCGCCACTGCAGCCTGGGTGACAGAGTGAGACTCCAACTCAAAAAAAAAATTCTTGTTTAGTACACTCTGGACAAAGTTTATTATACTTGCTTAACTAAAATGTGTTTTGATTTAGTGTTCAGAGAGCAACCAGGCAATGATAATCCTGTAAGTACATGATAAATTGAGAAAGGTTAGCAAAACCAAAAATCTAGAATTGAGGTGTTTTTAGCCCCAAGTAGAGTAACCTAGGGGGCCCAGTCCTCTATACTAAGTGTGCTAATATGATTTAGGGGCCTAATATTAAGAGACGACTTATTTCCACTCTGTTCAGATGTACTAGTTGGATCCATGATTGGAGTAACGTTTGCCTACGTTTGCTACAGACAATACTATCCTTCTCTGACTGATGCAGAATGCCATAAACCACTTCAGGACAAAGTTGCATTTCCCACTGCACAGAAAAAGCTTGGTGATTCTTATTGTTTTGATATCTGAAAACTAAATCTACCTCATTGGAGAATAGGTGAGTCAGGCCTCCTAACAAGACAAGAAATTCTGACCTTTTTACCACCTCCAAGGTTCAAGTGAGGACATGAGCCACACTGTATTTTGCCTCCATTTGATTATGCAGTTTTGGCCCTACTCACATGGATCTATCATGGGAGTTAAGGTATTTTTTCTACTATTGTATGCTGCATGTCCTGGCAAAGGGATCTTTCGATAGTTCCCCAACCGCTTATGAATCTGATTGGTATCCTAAGGCCTACAGTGTTTTTACATTTAATTTAAGTGCCATTCTTGAAATAATCTTGTCACAAAGAAGTGTTTCACATAGCCTCAGTTTATCCTAGAAGCTAGATTAATTATAAAAAGTTCATTTCCACTTCCTATATCTCAAAATCTCAAAATTCTAAAATCCTAGGACATGACCAACTAAATTACTTTGATTTTGTTTACTTTATCAGATGACAATTCCTTTCAAGCCTTAAATAGGAAAATTTTGAAAATTTTTAAATTACTCCAGTGTGGAATAATTTGTTATGGTTATGCATATATTATCTAAGTCCAGCCATCTGGTATTTTTGAACACTGTGGGCATAAACGATGTGTTGAATTAAAAAGTGAACACAATAAAAAAGAAGAAAATGGTCAGGAGTATGGCTTCAGCACTAACAACAGATTTTTGTTTCTACTTCACTTGTCTTTAACTGTGCTCATGAGCTTCTTTCCTTCCATTCTTTCCTTCCGTTCATGATCTGCCCAAATGCATCAACTCTGCCAAGTGAGTAAGACAGGAAAGAAAAATTACAGATGATCACTACCTGAAGGACAAATGAATCACTCTTCTGCCCCTTCTATACAACAGGATAAGGAACAATTACTATGGGACCTACAGCTACCTTTTTCTTTATTGTGATTATACATGAAATATGACTCTGCCTTATACAGACCTTTCTATCACCTAATATTCAAATAAAACAGTGAATGTGTACTTTTTTTTGTACTTTGTACCATTCAAGGACTGGAATGTAATGTAAAATATTAGATTCCCCATCCTGACATAAGTGATTCTACTGCTGTACTAGCTATTATTTATAAATACCAAAGGACAGATTCAGTATTTACCTCATAATTGTTGTGCTTCAAATTCTGAATTACATCTACCTATGACAGTCGAGGGAAAAGAACTAAACATTAGTTCTTTGCCCAAAACTTTTAAAACTTGTTTTAGAATACACAAGAGAAGATAAAATTGCAGCTGTGTTGATTTTCTTACTTTATGGTGGATGAGTCCAGATAAAAGTAGGCAACTGGTCAGTACAGTTTTATTTCAGTATTTTACTAAAGTGTTAAATATAATCACGTAAAAAACAAACATTTCAAAAGTGCAAAATATTAGAAAGCTAATCAGGGCTATTAATCTCTCCATGCAAATCTTTTTTGCTAAAATAAGCACTACTAATTCTGCAGCTGGTAATATGTACAAAATGATGCTGTACCAAAGTTTAAAAATAGGTTTGGTGTAGCAATTACACATGATATAAATGAGGCAGGCAGCGCAAATAATACATGACTAAATAAAGGCTTCGAATCAAGCTTATTACCCTGTAAAATATACAGCCATAAGAATATACAACAGGTAGATGGACAAGATATCAAGCTCTTTTACAGTTACCTGCCCCTCACTACCAGGAAAGAAACATTTCGTAATACAAAGAGTAGTTTATCTAGTTATCCAGAGTTATGCTGTCCATCTTTGGTTACAGGGACTCACTCTTGCTCGTCCTTTGGTTTACTCTTAAATAGTACCTGTTTCTGTCAATATGAAGAATAAATGTAAATTTGAAGACAGCAACTTAACAAAAACTTCCCCTTTTATACAGTGAATGCTTCTTAATTCTCAATATTCCTTACTCAGAGTTTATGTAATACAGAAAATAAAGTATTCCATATATCTGATATTTAGTGGCTTGCTTACTATACATTAGTCTATAAGCAAATGACAAGGAAAGGCCAGGCTTGATCTGTACCCCAATCTTACCTCTACAATCTCCAGGGCAACAGTAATTACCTTTCCTTTTCTCTTCAGAAAGGGATAAAGACTATTGCTGCTTAAGGGATGGTTTCAGTGACTATTACATGCCAGTGCTTTGAATACCATGATACATTTACCAAAAAAAAGCATAAACAGCAAAACACAGTTTGCCTACCTATGCTACTTTATATAAACAGGCCTGTGGAATCTGAGAGGAAGTATAAAGGACTATTATAAAGAGAACTGCAAAGACAGTGACAAACTCTGACCAACAAGAAGAAAATACCCATAGCAAAATGGTGAAAAGATGCCTTGAGAAAAAAATGAGTCTGCAGTCACCCGTGTTCTTGGAGATAATTCCCACTTTGCATGTTGTAGACTGTTTACACTGACTCTGCAATAGCTGTTTCCTCAACCCATTCAGCATAGGATTTTCTTTCAGAATAAGTTAAACATTTCCCCCAGCTCTAAACCTACCTGCTCAACCAACACTGCCTGTGCCAAGAGCCTTTTAAATAATTATTCTGAATTATGGATAACTAAGAAAGCAATGATCACAAAATGTTTTTAAATAGAATACACAATACTTCACCCATGTGGAAGCAGTAGGTGACTTAAACAAATTCTGTTTCACCATAAAGGCACTACTAAAAGATTGTATTTATAACCTAAGCAGCCTGTAAAGACTATGTAGTTTCAGGTTCATCAGCTTTATAACTTTACCTGCAACATAAGAATAGAAGCTATTATCAAATAACTGCATCAGACCTCATCTAGAATCAATTAGGAATATAATATATAAAAAGGCAGGTCTAGGATATGTAACAACCTTGCTTTATAAAAATGTACCTAATGTGAACTAATTTGTCGACTTTAGCTCTTATAGCAGCTCAGTTGTAAAACAATGAACATCATCAGTGATTCCTAGCAATAAGTCAGTCAATCAGTTAAATACTCTTTTTAAGGTATATTTTAGTCTGTTTTTTCATAAAGTACACATTGGAAAGAAATGCTGGTCCAAAAAAATTGCCCAACAGCTTTATCTATATCCACTTAGACTTAGACTTCAGGTGTAAAGAACGCAAATAAGAGATGACTAGACACCAAAATGCCTTCTAAATCTCAACAATCTATTCCCAAACTAGGACATTTTCTAAAAATAAGCAATAATTTCTTGGAAAAATGTCTACCCAATCCCAAACAAATCAAACCCAAAATAGACTACACCATCTCAAATCCTGAGCAATAAGGTGTGGCACCTGTAAACTATGATCCAATTAAAGATGCAAACTATCTCCAGCTATGAAGAAAGGATGGCAAGTGTTTACATGAAGCCAGTGGTAAAAAGTAATAGAGTATTCCTTTTGCTTTTCTATTCACTTCCAAAAAGGAAGATTATCTTCCAAAGATCCCAGTGGTGAGTAAGCAGCAGGCAACATGCAGAAAATGACGCAGCTGAGAGGAAAATTGCAGCAACAAACAGGTGGATTTTCTGGGGAAGGATCCCTCAATGTCCATCTAGGGGAGAGAGTGGGAGAAGAGTTCATCATGCAGTCACAACTGGAATGCAACAATGGAGAGCACCTGAGTTGAATATACAGACTTTCTAGTTTAGCATCTGAAAGGCCAATTTAAATCTCAGAATGGACTGTTAGTAATTAAAATTATGACCGTTGCCATGGTAACTCTTAGATGATCAGAACTACTAAGATGAGTTCAGATCCTCAAAAATGACAGGTGTCACTGGAAAAAACCTCTAGCAAAAGAGACATACACTAATGTTCCTTTAGGGGGCTACTGTGAATTCCAACCAGAGTCCCTCTAGAAATGAGTATCAGCCTAGATCTTGGTGACAGGCACAGAAATGTGTGTTTATGAAGAGCTTGAGGCTCCAGAGACCCTTGTAACATGTTAATACGTAAAAGATATGCTGCATATGTGGCATTTTAAAACTTACATTACGCAGCCATCGATGGGTCATTTTTACTATAAGGGCTGATCAAGGAAGATGCCCTGGGTTTGGTAGATCTCTTTGAGGACCAGCAGTACTGTATCTTCAGATTCCCTATAGAGAAAAAAACTTAGGTGAGAAAACAGGGAACTAACGTTTGTGCCAGAACTTTACATGTTGTTATTTCATTTAAACCACACAACCACTTTGCAAGTTCATTTTCTACTATTGCAAAAAAAAAAAGACTCAGAGGTACCATAATTCAAAGTGACCTGGCAAATAACTCTAGCATTATATCTGTTAATTAAAAAAAAAAAAAAAAAAAAAAAGGCTGGGCACAGTGGCTCACGCCTATAATCCTAGCACTTTGGGAGGCTGAGGTGAGAGGACTGCCTAAGTTCGCAGGTTTGAGACTAGCCTGGGCAACTTAGTGAGACCTCATCTTCACAATAAATCAAAAAATTAGCTGGACGTGGTGGTGTGTGCCTGTAGTTCCAGCTACTTGGAAGGCACAGGCGGAAGGATCACCTGAGGCTATGGTGGCCATATGCATGCCACTGCACTCTTGCCTAGGCAACACAATAAGATTCCAACTCAAAAAAAAAAAAAAAAAAATACTAAATAATCAAGAACTGTTTCCTTTCCACAGAGCTCATTCTTTTGTTTTCTGGGTGTCTTTTTTTTTTTTGAGTCAGAGTCCACTCTGTTGCCGAGGCTGGATGGAGTACAGTGACATAATCATGGCTCACTGCAGTCTTGCCACAGCCTCAACTTCCTGGGCTCAGGCAATCCTTCTACCTTAGCCTCCCAAATGAACTACAGGTGGGACTACAGATGCATACCACCACACCTGGATAATTTTCTTTTCTTTTCTTTCTTTTCTTTTCTTTTCTGGATAATTTTCTTTTCTTTTCTTTCTTCTTTTTTCTTTCTTTTTGCCCAAGGTCTTGCCCTGTTGCCCAGGCTGGTCTCAAACTTGTGGGCTCAAGCAGTCCTCTTGCCTCAGCTTCCCAAAGTGCTGAGATGTGATTACAGGTGTGAGCCACCATGTCCAGCCCATGGAGCTCATTCTTGAGACAATACTGAAAAAATCATCCAGTTGGTCACCTTAACTTTTTAAATGTTACACACTTTTTGGAAAGGTAATACAATCGTATGGTTCAAAATTCAAAAGATATAAAAGGTAAGATAAACTCAAAATATATAAAAGGTAAAATAAAGAAGTCTCCTTCCCACCTCTGTTCCTCAACCACTAGTTCCCATCTTCTGACAATGTTATCAATTTCTCAATCATCTTCTAGATATTCTGTGCATGTACAAGCAATTACTTATATCTATAGTTCATAACAAAATTTGATTACAAAAGATAACATTCATGAAGAACTGCCTTAAGAATATAAGGCCAGCCGGGTGTGCCACACTCACACCTGTAATCCCAGCACTTTGAGAGGCTGAGGCCAGAGGATTGCCTGAGACCAGGGGTTCAAGACCAGCCTGGACAACTTGGCAAGGCCTTGTCTCTAAATAAAAAATAAAAAAATTTAGCTGGGCGTGGTGGCACATGCCTGTGGTTCCAGCTACTTAGATGGCTGAGATGGAAGGATCGCCTGAACTCAGCAAGTCGAGGCAGTGGTGGCCACGAGCATGCCACTGCACTCTAGCACTCTATCCTGGGCAACAGAGTGAGACTCAAAAAAAAAAAGAATATAAGGCCGGCCTGGGCAACTTGGGAAGACTTCGTCTCTACAATAAATCAAGAAAAATTAGCGGGGCATGGTGGCTCATGCCTGTAGTTCCAGTTACTTGGAAGGCTGAGGCAGAAGGATCACCTGAGCCCAGCAGGTCAAGCGTGCCACTACATTCCAGCCTGGGTGACAGAGTAAGACTCCCATTCAAAAAAAAAAAAAGCAAATCTCAAACATTCCTCTACATCTGTGGTTCGACATTTTTTGGGTTGTGCATCACTATGAGAATCTAATGAAATGGATTTCTCCTCAGAAAGGATCACATATACAACCAAAAATTGGATCCACAGACATTCCTCATCTCCTGCAAATTCCATGCACAGACTCCAGCTTAAGAAACTTCTGTATCGCTGGGCTCGGTGGCTCAGCCTGTAATCCCGCGCGGGAGACTGAGGTGAGTGGACTGCCTGAGCCTGCGGGTTCGAGACCTGCCTGGGCAACTTGGCGAGACTTCATCTCTATAATAAATCAAAAAAATTAGCTGGGTGTGGTAGCGTGCGCCTGTAGTTCTAGGCTGAAGCAGAAAGGATCGCTGGAGCCCAGCAGGTTGAGGCTGCACTGCACTCCAGTTTGGATGACAGAGTAAGACTCCAACCCCCCCCAAAAAAAAAAAAAACCTCTGTATCAATGAGAGGGAATTAGCTCTACCAGATATTAAAACTGTGTACAAATAAACATATCAATAAAAAAGAATAGGGCCTATAATCCCAGCACTTTGGGAGGCTGAGGTGGCAGGATCTCTTGAGCCCAGGAGTTCAAGGCTGCAGTAAGTCACGATCATACCACTGCACTCCAGCCTGAATAACAGTGAGACTCAATAAATAAGAAGAGGAAGTTCAGAAATAATCTCAATTACATCTAAGAATTTAATATAATAAAAGTTAGAATCTCAAACCTAGTAATAGTGTTGACACATTTGAAAAAAAAAATCACCTGAATCTATCCATACCTTATATTAGGATAAATTTGAAGTGAATCAAAGATTTACATGTAAAAATGAAACTATAAAATATTGGAATAGCTGGGTATGGTGGCACACTCTTGTAGTCCCACCCGCTCAGAAAACTGAAGCAGGAGAATTGCTTGAGCCCAGCAGTTCAAGACTGCAGTGCACTATGGTCATGTCTGTAAAAATCCACTTCACTACAGTCTGGGCAGCACAAGACCTGTCTCTGAAATAAATATATACATGAGAATAAATTGATAAAAATTGTTCTGGAAAGTAAGAAAAGTATGACACAAATTCCAGAAACCAAAAAGCAAAGGTCAACAAATTTGATTACATTAAACTCAAATTTGTCTACTTAGCAAAAACCAACATAAGCAATATCAAAAAACCAACAGGGGAAAAGGTATCTATAACTAACAACTAAATAAACTGGGAAATACCATGTTCATGGACCAGAAAACTCAATATTATTAAAATATCAATTATCTATAGATAAAATACAATCTAAATTAATATATACATAAAATTATCTTTAGATAAAAAGCAATTACAAGGCCACAGCAAATTCCTTTGTAGAAATTAACAAGCTGATTCTAAAACATATATGGAAATGCAACAGACCTTCAGTAGCCAAAATGACTTTGACTAACAACAAAGTTGGAGGAATCATGCTACCTGACTTCAAGACTTTTAAAGCTATCAATATTAAGACAGTGTCATCAAGACAGACAGAAAGATCAATGGAATAGAAAATCCATAAATAAATACACATAGATACAAATAGAAATAGATAAGGTCAACTGATTTTCAACAGGGTGCTAAGGCAACTCAATGCTACTTTGTCTGGGTAAACTTTGCAAGAAATGGTGCCAGAACAACTGGATAGTCATATATAAAACAGTGAACCCCAATCTTTATCTCACATAATATTAAAAAAAACTATATAAAAGTGGATCATATCCCTAAATGTAAGAGATGAAACTTGTAGAACACAGGAGAAATATTAATGACTTTGGATTTGTCAGAGTTTTCTTTGATTCTTTTTTTTTCTTTTTTTTTGAGTTGGAGTCTTGCTCTGTTGCCCAGACTGGAGTGCAGTGGCACGCTCACAGTCACCACAGCCTTGACCTGCTGGGCTCAGACGATCCTTCCACCTCGGCCTTCCAAGTAGCTGGAACTACAGGTGCACGCCACCACAGCTGGCTAATTTTTCGATTTATTGCAGAGATGAGGGCTCACCAAGTTGCCCAAGCTGGTCTTGAACCCCTGGACTCAGGCAATCCTCTTGCCTCGGCCTCCCAAAGTGCTGGGATTACAGACTTGAGCCACTGCGCCTGGCCAGTTCTTTTTTTCTTAAGAGATGAGGTCTTGCTCTGTCACCCAGGCTGGAAGTGCATTGGTGCAATCTATACCTTACTGCAACCTCAACCTCCTGGGCTCTTAAGCCCTCCCTTCTCAGCCTCTTGAGTAGTTGGGACTACAGATTTGTGCCATCATGCCTGGCTAATCTTTTATTTTTTGTAGATGGAGTCACACTGTGTTGCCCATGCTGGACACCATCTCCTGGCCTCAAGCAATCCTCCCTTTCTCAGTCTCCCAAAGTGCTGGGATTACAGGCCCGCCTTGGACTCCTAAAGTGCTGGCCTTACAGATGTGAGCCACTGTGCCTGGCCGTATTTGGAAGAGATGTTTTAAATCTGTCCAAAAAAAAAGTACAAGAAAAATCAATAAATTGAGCTTCATCAAAATCAAAAACGTTTGCTCTTCACACACACTAATAGAAAAATGAAAAAGAAGCCACATCCTGGGGGAAAAAAAACTGTCTGAAGAAGACTTGTAACTAGACCATAACGAACTCTTGCAGGCCGGGCGCTGTGGCTCATGCCTGTAATCCCAGCACTTTGGGAGGCCAAGGAGAGAAGACTGCCTGAGCCCACGGGTTTGAGACCAGCCTGTGCAACTTGGCAAGACCTCATCTCTACAATAAGTCAAAAAGTTAGCTGGGTGTGGTAGGGCTTGCTTGGAAAGTTGAGGCAGAAGGATAGCCTGAGCCCAGCAGGTCAAGGCTGTGGTAAGCCGTTTGAGTGTGCCACTGCACTCCAGCCTGGGCACAGAGTGAGAATCTGACTAAAAAAAAAAAAAAGAACTCTTGCAATTTAATAAGACAATCAAATTTTTTAAATGATCAAAAGATTTAAACAGACACTTCACCAAAGATGATATATGGATGGCAAATAAACATATGAAAGTACTCCAGTCTGTCCCTGGTCTCACTCTGTTGCCCAGGCTGGAGTGCAGTGGCACAATCACTGCTCACCACCGCCTGGACCTCATGGGCTCAGAGTGATCCTTACAACTCAGCCTTCTGAGTAGCTGGGACTACAGGCACATCCTACGATGCCCACCACACTGGTCTTGAACTCCTGTGCTCAAGCCATCCTCCTGCCTTGGCCTCCCAAAGTGTTGGGGTTACAGGAATGAGCACACCCAGCTTAAAGTAAACACATTTCTTACAATACATGAAAATATATATTCAGTGTCATTGGTCATTAGAGAGATGCAAGTTAAAGCCACAATGAGGTACCACTACAGCCCATTCAGAATATTTAGAAACTAATCATCAAGAGTTATTGAAGATATGGAGTAACTGGAATTCTCAAACACTGCTGATGGGAATGTCAATTGCTAGTGGTAAAACAGTTTAGTACCTTTTTTTAAAGATACACTTTCAAATGACATTCAGCTATTCCACTTCTAGATATTTACCCAAGTAAATAAAGAATATGTGCAAGTTCCCAGCAGCTTTATTTGTTAGTAGCCCCAAACTGGAAACAACCCAAATATCCATCCACAAATAAATGGATAAATTGTGATATATCTATATAATGAAATACTGCCCAGCAATAAAAGGCAACAAACTATTGACATACACAACATGGGTATATCGCAAAGTAATTATGCTGATTAAAAGAAGCCAGGCAAAAAGTAAACTGTATGATTCCAAATAAAAGGCATATGTAAGCCAAACGACAGTAGCAAAACAGATCAGTGGTTCCCTAAAGATTGGGAGGAATGGGGAGGAGAAAAGGAAGGAGGAATTACAAAGGGGCAAAATGAAACTTTTTTTTAAGAACCTGGGTCTTGCTCTGTCACCCAGGCTAGAGTGCAGTGGTGTGATTATAGTTCACCACTGCCTCAAACTCCCGGCCTTAAGTGATCCTCCTACATCAGCCTCCTGAGTAACCAGGACTATAGGCAGATGCCACGACGCCTGGCTAATTTTTTTTGTTTTTAATTTTTGTAGAGACAGGATCTTGCTATGTTGCTCAAGCTGATCTAGAACTTCTGGCCTCAAATGATCCACCTGCCTCAGCCCCCAAAGGGCTAGGTTTATAGGTATGAGCCAGCACACTGGGCCTTACAAGGAGAAACTTTTTTTTTTTGGAGTTGCAGTCTCACTCTGTCGCCCAGGCTGGTATGCAGTGGCACACTCATGGCCACCGCAGACTTTACCTGCTGGACTCAGGTGATCTTTCCACTTCAGCCTTCCAAGTAGGTGGAACTACAGGCGTGTGCCACCCCACCTGGCTAATTTTTTGATTTATCGTAGAGATTAGGTCTCGCCAAGTTGTCTAGGCTAGTCTCGAACCCCTGGGCTCAGGCAATCCTCTCACCTCCACCTCCCAAAGTGCTGGGATTACAGGCATAAGCCACTGTGCCTGGTCTGAGAAACTTTTGAGAGTGATCAATTTATTCACTGATCTGTGGTGACAGTTTCACACATATATGTCAAAATTCATCAAATTTGTATACTTTAAATATGTGCAGTATATTGTACATTTTTCACCCAACAAATTGGCAAATGTTTAAAGAATAATAATAAAGCTATGTTGGAAAAGCTATGGAAAGACACACTTTTTTCTTTTTTTTTTGGAATCAGAGTCTCACTCTGTTGCCCAGGCTGGAGTGCAGTAGCACACTTATGGCCACCACAGCCTCGACCTGCTGGGCTCAGGCAATCCTGCTTCAGCCTTCCAAGTAGCTGGAACTACAGGCGTGCACCACCCTGCCCTGCTAATTTTTCAATTTATTGTAGAGACAAGGTCCTGTCATGTTACCCAGGCTGGTCTCGAACCTGTGGGCTCAGGTAATCCTCTCATCTCTCTGCCTCCCAAAGTGCTGGGATTACAGGCATGAGCCACTGTGACCAGCTGAGAAACATACTTTCATACATTCCTGGTGGAAGTGAAAAAAGGTACAATCTCTATTTGGTGATATTCATCAAATATTACAAATGTATATATACGCTTTATGGAAGCAATTTCAATTCTAAGTATTTTACACAAGATATGTAAAGAGCAAAAAGATAGAAGCCTACAGACCCATCAAAAGAGGAATGTTAGATAAATTATGGTATATTCATTCAGTGAAATACCATGCAGCTAAAAAAGAATGAGGAAACTCTCTACAAACAATAGGTTAAAAACTCCAAGATACATTGTAGAAAAAAACAAGGCACAGCCTATAATATGACATTATTCATGTCTTTATAAGGAGAAAATAATCACACATACTCACACATGTACTATGTAGGCATAAAATAAGATAGCTGGAAGAAATTTTAAGAAACACGTATTGGCCTGGTGTGGGGTGGCTCAAGCCTGTAATCCCAGCATTTTGGGAGGCCAAGGTGAGTGGACTGCTTGAGCCCACGGGTTTGAGACCAGCCTGGGCAACTTCATGAGATCTCATCTCTACAATAAATCAAAAACTTAGTGGGGCATGGAGTATGCACCTGTAGTTCCAGCTACTTGGAAGGCTGAGGCGGAAGGATCGCCTGAGTCCAGCAGGTCATCGCTGGGGTGGCCATGAGCATGCTACAGCACTCCAGCCTGGGCAGTGGCGTGAGGCTCTAACTAACTAACTAACTAACTAACTAAATAAATAAATAAATAATAGAAATACATGTTAGTTGCATATGGGGAGGAAAGTAGCCAGCAAAGAACAAAAAAGGCTTTTCGTTATTTCTTTCTTTGAATTTTGAACAGTATGAATGTACTGCCCATTTATTGATTTTAAAAGCATCATACTGATTACATCAAATAATAATTCCTTTATCAGAATTCAACAGAAAAATTTCTCAGGACCTTAAAGCTTGTACTTTTTAAGCACTTATTTCTGGGTTTTTTTTTGAGTTGGGAGTCTCACTCTTTCGCCCAGACTGGAGTGCAGTGGCCGCTCCTGGCCACCGCTGCCTCCACCTGCTGGGCTCCGGAGATACTTCCGCCTCAGCCTTCCAAGTAGCCGGAATTACAGGCATGCACTACCACGCCCGGCTGATTTTTTGATTTATTATAGAAATGAGGTCTCACTGCCCAGATAGGTCTCGAACCCACAGGCTCAGGCAATCCACTCACCTCAGCCTCCCAAAGGCGTGGGATTACAGGGTGAGCCACCGAGCCCAGCTAAGCACTTATTTCTGACCCATCTTATTTTTCCTAGCTTTATTTCTTTACTGTAATTTCTTCAGTGATTAAACTATATTGTTATACTATGTGAGTTTCCATAAGCACCATTAATTAATTCTATAATCCATCAGGTAATTAATTATATTTAATAATAATAAATTCTGATCTAGCCACTGTAAATGCTGTCAAGTGGGTTCCTTAAAATACTTCCAGCAAGCTGGGCTCAGTGGCTCAGCCTGTAATCCTGCGCCTTTGGGAGGCTGAGGTGAGTGGATTGCCTGAGCCCACGGGTTCAAGACCCACCTGGGCAGCGAGACCTCACCTCTACAATCAACCAAAATATCAGCCGGGCGTGGTAGCGCGTGCCTGTAATTCTGGCTACTTGGTAGGCTGAGGCGGAAGGATCGCCGGAGCCCAGCAGGTCGAGGCTGCGGTGGCCGGGAGTGGCCACTGCACTCTAGTATGGACGACAGAGTGAGACTCCAACTCAAAAAAAAAATACTTCCAGCAATAGTAATTTGTTCCACTTTATTCATATGCACCCAAATGGAAATGGCCAAAGACAAACTCTTAAAGACCAAGCTAACTGAACTGGTTGTTGACATCATTATCCCCATGCTCTACCCAACCATAAAATAAAATGTGTTTAAACTAGATTTCAGTAAATGACATGACTGTGCTCTTTTGTAACTGTCTATATAAGAAATCATTCTAATCCCAAATGTACACTAGTTTCTCTTCCTTCTTCTACATCTATCAAAATCTGTGAAGCAATTAAACAGCAACAACAAAAAACAGAAACAAAAACAGGTAATGCTTACCAATAACATAGATGGCTTTGTAAAGCAAATAAATACTCATTAAAACTTTCAATGGGCTTCTCCTGTAGCACATAGTCAATGCGTTGGCCTCCATTCAGCATTCCCACACTGATGGGTGGGACTTCTTTAACTTCCACAGAGGTCTCTTCTTTAACATCTGAATATGGAAGAACCGTAGTAAGAATCTAAAAGCTTTTGGCCCTCCAGATTTGTCCTGTTACTTCCCTTCAATCTCCAAAGTTTACTATGGAATGAGTTATTCCCCTGTGAGAGCTCTCTCTCATCTTTCTTCTCTTAATCTCCTTAAAGCTCTTTCTCAAGTCCCAATAATTCTGTCCAATCTTCTTTTTTATCTTTCACTCAAAACATCGCATTACCTATACCTTTGATAGCTAAGTCATTTGCCTTGGGTTTCTTTAGGAAGTTAAAAACTAAAGCAAAATAATGCAATATTAACTATGAAATTAAGTGGAGAGTATCCCAGCTAGTCCCTAGCCAGAATAACAAAACTGAGCCACATATAACAGACATGCCCTGTAAAAGCAAGGCACTTTACTCAGTAGGCTCTGAACATTACAATCCTCTTAGTTCCCAAGTGGGGAATGTTTTAAAGCCTAGTTACCAGTTGCTCAGCTTCTCTTGAAATTTTTCCTCACAAATAATATTTTTCCATGACTTGTGACTGTTAAGATGACAGAAAAGGTTAGCAGCACTGAAAGCCCACTAGGACTCATGGTATAGGTCCTACACAACAAAAAGAGAAAGATAAGAAGGCCCTGGGAGAATAAGAACTCCACACATGGGGTTCCTCTTATCCAGTCTGAGGCAGGTAGTCAATGTGTACAGTGTCACTAACCACTGGGTTTCTCTGAACTTGATTCAGGTTTTGCTGCAGTTTCTTTTGCAGTTTCTGAAGCTTGTAAGGCAGGATAGTGAGCTCTGGCAAAAGAATTCCAGGCCATCCGTAGTGAACCTATCACGTTGTTCTTAAGGTCCATACTTATTATCCTGGTCAAACCATCTCTCAGTTCTGAAACATAAAGAACGTTAAATGGTTTGTAAAGAGTTTAGGGAGGCCACGCTCGGTGGCTCAGCCTGTAATCCCAGCACTTTGGGAGGCTGAGGCGAGTGGATTGTCTGAGCCCACAGGTTCAAGATCAGCCCAGGCAACTTGGTGAGACCTCATCTCTATAATAAATCAAAAAAATCAGCCAGGCATGGTAGCGCACGCCTGTGGTTCCAGCTACTTAAAAGGCTGAGGTGGCCGGGCTAGGTGGCTCAGCCTATAATCCCAGCACTTTGGGAGGCAGAGGTGAGTGGATTGACTGAGCCCACAGGTTCGAGACCCGCCTGGGCAACTTGGCGAGACCTCATCTCTACAATAAATCAAAAATTAGCCAGGCGTGGTAGTACATGCCTGTAGTTCCAGCTACTTGGAAGGCTGAGGAGGAAAGATCACTGGAGCCCAGCAGGTCGAGGCTGCAGTGGCCAGGAGTGGCCACTGCACTCCAGTCTGGGTGACAGAGTGAGACTCTAACTAAAAAAAAATAAAATAAAAGCTAAGGCAGAAGGTTCACCGGAGCCCAGGGGTCAATGCTGGGGTGGCCATGAGCGTGGCACTGACTCCAGCCTGGGCAACAGAGTGAGACTCCAACTCAAAAAATAAAAAAAAGAGTTTAGGGTCCAATACAACTCAACAGAATTAATGAGGTCATTCAGTTTGTACTGGCTGGAAGGTCTAGAATTACCAAGTTTTATACTCAGATTTACCTAAGTGCATCCGCTTCCTGCCTTTATGATGTGGGATCAGCATTGGCTCAAATTCCACTCCTGGGACCACCATTGGTTCAATTCTATAGGCCACAGGATCAAACTACATAGAAAAAATAATAGCTACATTTACCTCTGCTGAAATAAGACAGTCTGAGGAACTGTATATATTAGGCAAGAATAAGTTCATTTTGTAAAATGTACAGTAGTTCTGCTCCATCACTTTCAGATCAATATGTAAGTTATTTCATTACTAGAGAATGGTATAGAAAGAAAAAGAATCAACACAACAGAAAATCATATGTTCTTTACCAGTAAGTTCTAATATTGAAGTAAAACCACAATAGCTGTACAATGCTTACAGGGTGATAAATGTTGAAGAAACCTTTGCATGTTGGAAATCTGTAGTTGGGATCAATTCTTTTTAGTCCTCGAACAGTAAGAAACATTCCAATGGGAGATCCAAAGGCAAAGAATATTTCTGGTTTATAGAGGAGCTGGGGGTAATTTACAGATACCTCGAAGGAAAAAAATAAATGCATCTCTCATTAATAACAAAAGTTACATCAGTTCCTTCCATCCATATCAGGCAGTAAAATACCACGGAGAATTTGTATTGTTACCTGCCCAATGCCAACATCCAGATATTCATCATTTCTAGTATTGTCAGAACTACTGCAGAACTCAGATTCTTTGGGGATATTTACTCCTAAAGTTGACTGCAAGACTGGTCTATTAATACCCTAGAAAATAAAAAAGAGTTATGCGGAAAAGCCAAGTGTGTGCACCTATAGTACCAGCTACTCAGGAGACTGAGATGGGAGGCTTGAGCCCAGGAGTTTGAGTCCATGGGCAAGACCCCTCATCTCTATTAAAAAGAAAAAAGAGTTATGTAAAGTTACTATATAGTAAAAATAGCCAACAGATTATATCATTTTCTACTGATTTGAAAGGATGCTTGGGAAAGTTTTGAAACAGTAGCCAATAATTCTAGGAAAAATCACTCAGAAAACAACATAAAGCTGATGAAAACAACATTTGCCTTAAATTATGAATTGGTATCCCTACATGCTCTAAGATGATGAAAGCTATACACAGCTATTTGGGCAATAGTTGAAATTTTAGGTAACCATCAAAAGAGATGACAACAGTAGAGCAACGTGGGAAGAAATGTTAAGGATTACTAAGGAGGTCAATAAAGTGCCTGTGATTTTGTAATCAAGGCAATTCAACTGTCTAATATGTAATATAATATAAATACTGGGCCAAAAACCGAGTCTTAAAAAAAGAACTGAAGACCAGGCGTGGTGGCTCACGCCTATAATCCTAGCACTTTGGGAGGCCAAGATGAGCGAATTGCCTGAGCCCAAGGGTTCGAGACCAGCTGGGGCAACTTGGTGAGACCTCATCTCTACAATAAATCAAAAAATTAGCTGGGTGTGGTGGCACACACCTGTAGTTCCAGCTGTTTGGAAGACCGAGGCAGAAGGATCACCTGAGCCCAGCGGGCTGAGGCTGCAGTAGCTGTGAGCATGCCACTGCACTCCAGCCTGGGTAACAGAGGAAGACTCCTACTGGGAAAAAAAAAAAAGAAAGAAAGAAAAGGAAATGGTAGGAGGAGGCCAAGGAGAGAAGCCATCTGAAGCCAGTAACATTTTTAAGGACCAGGATAAAGAAAACGTGTTTAATTTCCAAAAAGAGAGCCAAAGATTAGTTATCAAAACTGCCTAGTTCCCTAAACATACCATGAAGCACAAAAACACAGCATGGATATAAAAAAATTGCTTAGTCTAATAAGCTATAGTAAGTACATACCATTGAATTTTCTCTGGTCTTAAAATAGTTTAATATCTTCTTTCTTGGTCCTAAAGGAATTCCCATTTCCTGAAGATCTCTGTCTGTACATAAAGCCTAGGCATCGAAAACCAAAAATATTTCTTATTTCTAGGCAAAATAAAATCAATTATATTTCCTATCTCCTAAGAGGAATAAGACCTAGGTACTAGTTCTTTGCTTTATATTGCTCTGACGCCCTAGTGGTACAAAACCATTAATAACTTCAAGAAAGAAAGACTATTTTATTAATGAAACAGTCTAAAAAAATAAAAACCATCAATACTACAATATCAATGTAACAGTAATATACACTATATTGTGTTGTTTTTTTTTTTTTTGAGTTGGAGTCTCACTCTGTCGCCCAGACTGGAGTGCAGTGGCCGCTCCCGGCCACCACAACCTCGCCTGCTGGGCTCCGGCGATCCTTCCGCCGCATCCT